CTGTCGTCCCGCCTGGTGCGGACATTGATCTGATTAACCAAAGTTGGAAAGATGACGAGTGGGAGGCTAGCGTTTGTGTGGCACGCCGAGGTCAAGGACAGGGCTGCTCCAGGTTTGGGGTGCCCAGCGGACAGCCTTTTTGGCTCTGATCACTCCTGGCTAGGCCAAGGGCTGGAGGATATTTATTTCCCCGCATTGATCGGGAAGCTCTGCTCTAGACCGCCGCTGTTTCATAGAACTTTGTGCCAGAATGAAAATGTTCTCTCTCTCTAGATCTCTTTATCCGATGCTGTTCTTAGATGTTGGGGGTGGTTGGTTGGTTGGTTGTTTTGGTTTCTTTTTTTAGGTGTATGGTGGATAATTCTGTAGGTATTTAAGCATCTGCTGTGTACTTGTTGCTCTGGAGGATACCGAGATGAACCGGTTGGATTCGGCCGTCTGCCTTATTGTTCTAATCAGAACAGACCGATGACGGGGAGAAATTTCCTTTCTAATATTTAACCGCTATGAAAAGTACAGAGAATGATTAAAAAAAAAAAAAAGACCTGTGCACTCACCATCTAGATCTAACAATTCTTGACCTTGACCTTTTGTTATAATTATAATTGCATCCTTTTTTTTTTTAAGAAATAAAAGTAATATATATTTTGAAGCCCCACGTGTATCTGAACTCTCCTTCTCCAGAATTTGGTATTTTTCATGCCCACGCTTGTTTCATACTACTGTTGTATATTTGTAAGTCCAGATAGGATGGTTTTTCATGTTTTAAAGTGTACTAACAATGGGATTATAGCGGATTCCTTTATAACCTGCTTTTTTCTGTTTGATGTAATTTTGAAGAATTACTGTGTTGGGGCTCTTAATGGGAGGAGAGCTTATGGTTCCGTCTTGACCAGAGGTTTTGTTTTACTTCCTTCACTTTCTTGAGTTCTCTTTCTGGTAGTTCAGTTAATCAAATATCCTGGCTTGACATTTTAATTTTATTATTGTCCTTTTTGACTGTCTTTTAGTCTATTTTCTAGAAGAGTTCCTCGACGTTATCTTCCAATCCTTTTTTTTTTTTAAGATTTTATTTGACAGAGAATGAGCGAGCACAAGCACGCTCCCCCGCACACACACAAGCAGGGGAAGCAGCAGGCAGAGGGAGAAGCAGGCTCCCCACAGAGCAGGGAGCCCGATGTAGGGCCCAATCCCAGGACCCTGGGATCATGACTGGCGCTGAAGGCAGACACTTAACGGACTGCCACCCAGGCGCCCCTCTTCCAATCCTTCTATTAAATATTTTATTTTGGCTGTCATTTTTCATTTCCAAGAGCTCTTTCTTGTTTTATGATTTGTCCTTTTCTCCCCTGGCATTCTTTTCCTGTAAGTTTGAGGGAGTTTTTTGTTTTTGTTTTTTACAGTTTTTCTTGCATTGTTTTCCCTTCTTCCCTCCAAGCTTCTTCTCTTTGTCTGCTTTGGTCTGTCTCATGTTGGAGGCTTTGCTCAAATGTCAATTGAACCTTGGCTCTTTGTTTTTTAAGGAGGGCCCCCTTCCTCCCCCAGAAAGCAGATTGGAAGCTCTGTATGAGTGGCTGAACCTTATCAACCAGTAGGCTTTTACTGTTAAATAGATGGGCAGAGACTCAGCCATTTTTTTTGGGGGGGGGGATTCACAATAGTCAGTATTTTATTTATAGATCTTTTTTCTTGAGGTGGTTTTCTGTAGTGAACAGTCCTCTAATCTCCTGCCTTGGGTAGAGAATGTGTATAAACCAGAATATTGTGTCCTGGATTTGTGCAGGGAAAAAAGCTGGGGAGAAGAGTTGGAAGGGTCTCACACTGTTCAGTGTGTAGACTTGCACTTAACTCCTTATTTTCATTGCTGTGCTGTACCATTCTGGTGTTAATCCTGTCTGGCACAAACTGCCAGTTTTCTACAGCATTCGCGGAGGAGGTGTTTGTTTGCCTGGCTTTTTGTTCACTTGAGACAGGCTTTCAACCAGTCCTCTCTTTCAGCTCCTCTTTCAGCACTGCCCTCTGTCGTGCCCGGTTTCTGCAGTCCCCTCAGTGGGAATCAGCTTGCTTCTCAGGAGCACACAATCCCCCCTCATTGCAGGCACTTGTGGGTTTGATCTTTTCAGCTCTACTAAGAAGTTACCGGTTCCAGTAAGAGTTGCCTATCTCATACCCTGTTTGAATTTGTCTTGTAATTTACCTTTTCTTTAATGCCTTTGGGGGTTTGTGTCATGTTCATTGGTTTTCAGGAATGACTGGAAAAAGAAAGATAAGTGTGCTTCATTCATCGTGTTTATTGGAATTCCCTTTATTTACTCAGCCCCCTCCAGTCTGGCCTCTGGTCCCATCACTTCAGGGAAGCTCCTCTTTTCTAGGCTGTGTGTCATCTCCATGTTGTTAAATGTAGTGATCACTCTTCTGTACTAGACTCACTTGACCATTCCATTCTTGAGAATTCTTGAGAGCCCATGCTGTCCCAGGTTTCCTCCTCCTTCATAGTCTGCTCTGGATTCTCTTCCTGTTAACTGTTGGCCTTTTATAATGTGTGTCTCAGGTTTGAGTCCTTGGCCCAATATTCTTCTATCTCTGTTCCGTAGGTAGTTTTAATCTATCTTGTGATTTTAAGTAGCGTGTCTATGCTTAGGGTTCTTAAAGCTGTCTACTACTTTCCATCTCCTGCTACCACTCTGGCCCAAGCCTCTGACCACTGGTTTACACCCCCACAAGGAGCCTGTGAACTGGTTGGCTTGCTTGCAGCCTTGCTTCCCCTGCAGTCCATTCCTAACACAGAAAAAACTCCTTACTGAAGCCTTTCGTGTTAGTGTTCTGCCTCCTCAGCCTCATCCCATACTTCCACTCTTTCTTCCTGTGCTCATTGCATCTGCCCCGTTTCTCAGTTGCACCAAACCCATGCTCATCAGGGACCTCTGTACTGATTTCCTTCTGAAACTCTTCCTTGGCTCTTCATATGGCCACCTTCTTTTAATCCTTCACGCCTGGGCTCAACTTTCACTCTTTTTGAAAGACTTTATAAAATGGTGCTCCTTGGGGTGCCTAGGTGGCTTATTCGGTTAAGCGTCTGCTTTCAGCTCACGCCATGGTCCCAGCATCCTGGGATCGAGCCCTGTATTGGGCTCCCTGCTCAGTGGGGAGTCTGCTTCTCCCTCTTTGTGCTCTCTCTCACTCACTCTCTCAAATAAATAAATAAATAAATCTTAAAAGTAAAATAAAATATGAGCCATGTATACAAGACTAATTTCCCCACTGAAGCTGAGTAAACTTTTCCCTAATAGTTGAGGGAAAGATTCTCACATGAATCTTCAAAATAATGGGATGTGATAATATTTCTTCATATAATTGATACTGTCAATTAAAGACCATTTCTATCATGTTAAGCCGTTAACTCAAGCAGCAGATCTCAACAATTGATCAACCTTCTTTCAGGACAAAAATTGCATATTTAACATCCGTGATAAGATGTCAAGATTTTTTTTTTTTTACCCAGACCAACAAGGCTGCAAATGGCTTTATCCCCCAAGAACCTGACTTTTCCCATTTGATTATTTTTTTTATTCATTGGAGAAATAAATTTATGATAAATTTTGGACCAAATTTTAAAAACCATATCCAAATGACAACATGGGATGTAATGAAACACATTGCAGAGTTGAATGCAACCGAAACTGAGAGAAGGGGTCCACCCACTGGGTTTCCACAGAGAAAGATTCGCCATGGGAGCATCAGAGAGAATTTGAAAGTTTTCAGTAAGAGTTCGCTTTATCATTTGTATGTCCACGTTTGATCCAAATACTCATAACCGTCTGCTGTAACTACCAAACACGTGCTACCATTTCAACACCCTTCTTTACTTTAAGCTTTCTTGATTTAGCAGAAATAAAAAGTTAATAAATAAAGTAAAAAAAATAATAATAAAATAAAATGGTGCTCCTTGACTCCTACTCCCAAGACCAAATATCACAATGTATAATTTCCACATTTATTTGTTTATTTTCCCATTTGCTAGAATGTAAAATCTGTTACGCAGTTTTATCCTGTCATTATCTCTGTGGGGTATCTGACTACTTAACAGGTGCTTAATAAATATTTCTTGAATGGATTAACATCATGGAATTAGAGACAAGAAACAATGAAGGGGACATGCCAGGTGCCTGATAAATATCTGTGAAATGGGCTAACCAATAGCGTTAGTGATGGGAAACAAAAATACTGGAAAGGACAGAGCAAATAAAGTTTGGTCAGCCTTTTTGGAGAAATTAGGTAAATTTCTATTTTGAGTTAGTATTGAGTTAATTTTGCAACTATAAAAAGCTTTCTTTGTTTATCCTTAGTAACTTGGTGCTGTGAAAGATGACTATTGCCTATGCCGACTAAAATCAAATACAGCATATATTTTGGTAAATATCTGTATTGGGGTCACAAAGAACTGCTAGAGGTCTGGGAAATTACTTTCAGTTACAAAAGTTCAGTCTCCTTATTTCATGGATCATTCTGTTACAGAAGATAGTACCATGGGGCGCCTGGGTGGCTCAGTCGTTAAGCGTCTGCCTTCAGCTCAGGTCATGATCCCAGGGTCCTAGGATCGAGCCCCGCGTCGGGCTCCCTGCTCAGAGGGAAGCCTGCTTCTCCCTCCCCCAATCCCCCTGCTTGTGTTCCCTCTCTCGCTGTGTCTCTCTCTGTCAAATAAATAAATTAAATTAAATCTTAAAAAAAAAAAAAAGGTAATACCGTGATCACCTGCCTTCATGTTTTCAAAGGGAAAACTGGAAAACTAGTTATAAGTACCTGTTATGGAGAAAAAAGTTACTGATTACCAAACACTTGTGACTTAAAGAGGAGATTTTAGTTGCTTATTTTAAGATTCTCAGTTTTGCCAAGAATGACCTTAAACAGAAGTTCTAGAAGACTTAGATATGATTATACCAGCTATATGGCATGTTTTATCTATTTTACTGATATTTTTTACAAATCTTACTTCTCCAGAGATGGCTGAGGAAGCAATGGAATATAATCTTGACGGGCAATTAGAGCATCATGTTGCAGAACAGCCTGTTCCTGCTGAAGTGGTCAGCGGCCAAGGGGGACCACCCCTGCTCCAGCCTCTACCTACTGAAGTGGTCAGTGGCCAAGGAGGACCACCCCTGCCCCAGCCTGCTCCTGCTGAAGGGACCAGCAACCAAGTGGGACTGCACGTGCTCCAGCCTGCTTCACAGGTGTCTGTTGACCTGACAGAGGAAGTGGAGCTGTTGGGAGAAGATCGTGTGGAGAACATTAATCCAGGGGCTTCAGAGGAACATAGGCAGCGATCTCATGTTAACCGCCCCATCCCAGTGTCTTCATTGGTTTCAATGAACACCTTCATCAGTGGACTGCAGAGACTTCATGGCATGCTGGAATTCCTGAGACCCCCTTCAGACCACAATGTGGGACCAGTGAGATCGAGGAGGAGGAGGGGGTCCGCTTCACGCAGGTCAAGAACCGCAGGGTCTCAGAGGACAGACGGTGCCAGGTAAAAATTTGTTAAAATCTTGGGATTAGTGCCAGGTTGAGAATTAGGAACACTGGTTATGCCCGCAGTGCTGCCGAGGCTTGACGCAATGACTTTTGGCAAGTCAGGTAGTCTTTCTGAATCCCCAGTTCCTTACAAGTCAGATGAAAATAAAAGTGCTTGCCTTATTTACCTCACAGAGTCATTGAGGGAGTAAGTTACACTGATGTGCTTTGAAAACTAGGTGGTGGTTTGTTGGCAATGGTTTCTATGGGGGCTGGCTCTTCTTTAGATCATTTGCATATCAAAAAAGTATATCTTTTAACTTAAAAGTCCACAATCCAATTACCCGGTATCCATCGTTCGTTGGCATCCCATGTAATGGTGCAGTAGACTCTGGAAGACAGGCAGGCTGGATTTAGAGAAGCCTTGTGAAAAGTAAAATGTGAATTAATTTAGAGCTTATTTGACTAAGTGGGGAAACATTCCAGCCCTCTTCACCTGAGAATGTGTTGCAAAGTTGAAAATAATTTTCTTCCATAGTTTTGCATTTGAACTTGCCTTTTGAAGAGCTTAGCTGTCAAGTCTTGACAGGGTTACTATGAAAAATAACCACTGGCTATGCCTTGCCTGTTTTTTAACTTCCTCCTGCTTTATTTGAAATACTCAATTTTCACATTTGGCCTTCTAAATGTTTTCATAATGTTTAAATAGATTGAATTCAACATCGTCATTTTATATATGAAGGAAACTTGGACCCTGAGAAAGTGTTTTGTTCAGGGTCTCATAGCTACAACGGGGGACAAGGTTGAGTTGGTATTGGAACCTGGATCTGACTCATTTTCTATCCAGGCAGATAGAGGAAGCTTCGGTTATATCCATTTGTTTTCTTAACATTATGAAAATAATGAGATGATACTAAAAAGTAATAGCTAGGCCATCTGTTGACTGTGTTTTACAAATGAAGAAGCTGATGGAATAATTTGTGTTCTGACTAGGGTAACTCTGGAATTGGGATTGATCCTGGACTCAGCGTCCTTTTCCGTGGATTCTGCTGATTACTGTGGGGTGAAGGGGAGGGTCCTGCTGTTCATGTGGATCTAGTCTCTAGCCTAGTCATTCCTGGATGTGATCCGTCAGGGATGATGTGCTTAGTTTTGTGTTGACAAGAGTTTCAGATGCATGTTACTGTTATTTTAAGGTGTCATTCCCTCTGATTATGAAGGCAGAATAAGATATCATATGTTTGCGTCGTAGGTGAAGGCAGCTTGTAGTGCAGTTTGGGAACCCTTTCAGAGTCTGTGGGCTGAGAGTTGAAAGTGATGTCCCCAGGAACTGGCTGACTGCCACGAGACCTCACAGTATTCCTCAGCCTTGGTTCATATATTCATTCGGGGGAGGGGAGCGGGGGCAGATTTGATTTCTTTTTGGTGGGAGACTTTTGTGTTAACCCAGCTCACAGGAGAGTAACACTTAAAAACTAGATGCCAGTTTACAGAGAGAAATAGAAATGCCACAGAGACCAGAGTCTCTTGCTGGCATGGTTGGCACCATTCTCCTAAAAGAAATTTACCACAGAAGCTAAACTCTAATCAGAAAATTGCTTGACATATATAAGAACTGTGCTCAGGGACTGTGAAAGGATATCAGTTGAGCTCTTTGACAGTTGTGTTTGTTTCTACAAAAGGAATAAACCTAAAGGGCCAGGGATTGTGCAGCTTAGTGGAGAAAACATGGATTCTGGAGCCAAATGAACGTGGTATTAAAACTTTTTTTCCCTAAATACTGTGTTGGAAGCAAATGCGACACTAAATTCACATAAAAATAGGAGCTTTTCTAGGATTGATTGCTTATGATACTGTCTGAATTTCTTTTCTTTCTTTCTTTTTTTTTTTAAGATTTTATTTATCCGACAGTGAGAGACACAGCGAGAGAGGGAACACAGCAGGGGGAGCGGGAGAGGGAGAAGCAGGCTTCCCTCCGAGCAGGGAGCCCGACCCGGGGCTCGATCCCAGGACCCTGGGATCATGACCTGAGCCGAAGGCAGACGCTTAACGACTGAGCCACCCAGGCGCCCCACTGTCTGAATTTCTTAACATGAATTTCTTATTATGGTGTTTGGCATTTACTCACCTGACAGACTATCTCTGGGTCAGGTGTTGAGAGCCTGGGCGAGGGTGAGCAGCTTTTGCCTCAGACTCCACTGAGAAGCCAAAGTTGGGGGAAGCTGAGTAATGAGGTATTTTTCCCAACAGGCTTCTCAGCCAAGGTCACAAACTCCTTTCCTATTTCTTTGTTTGAGGCTGCTTGATTCTGGCTGTCAGCGTCATCACTCATTCATCAAATATTTCTAATACTCCACTATGTGAGAGACTGAACTTTGCCTTGGAGTTACATTGTGAACAGGACAGATTAGGGTACCTGTTCTCATGGAGCTTATGAAATCTAGGACTACAGAGGGTAAGCAAGGCGCAAGAACTTATACTGTTATTTAATTCAGAGATGGTAAGTGCAGGGAAAGAGGAGGATTTCTTGGGTTTCAAGATTGTACTCCCAGAGAAACCCTAGCACTGCTTCCTGATGACGTAGCTTCCCTTTCCTTTGTCCTCATCTGACCTTGGAAATGCCTTTTGCTGTATTAAAGCAATGTTAATGAGTGGTTTTTTTTTTTTTTTGATCGCTTAATTTCTTACCAGTTTCTATGCAAATACTCTATGCATGTCAGTAGCCTAACTATTAGCCTAACTTTAGTGTGGATTTCATTTGATTAAAATGATCTTAGGAGATAGCATTCTTACGTGCTTATTCTAATGGTGGCTGTAGCTGCTGTTAGCACACAATTGCCAAAATTAGTTGGTAAACTTGCTTATTAGCATTTTTAAAAAAGAAAACCTGAGTAACATCAAAAATGGCAGAGTAAGGACCTTCAAAACAACTGGCAAAATTTATCAGCCTCAATTTCCAGGACTGTGGAAATTAAGCAGATGCTTAAAGCAATTGCTTAAAGCAATTTAAAAAAAAAACAACAGCTGAATATCAGAACAGTAAGCTTCATGGCACTCCCTGTTACATATCCCTCTTCAACTCGATGGTAATGGTGAAAACCAAGTGCCTGCAATCACAGTGAAAACCAGCAGCCTGACAGCCACTAGAAGGAATAGATTGGGATTGGAGCTCCTTCAAAGCTTCATTCCCAGAGAATTGTCTTATTTTGTCCTGTTTGGTGGTTTCATGGAAGATCCCACTTGCAGGGCTATTTCTGACTTACCACTATGCCCAGTCTAAAAAGCTGAAAGCCTTTTCCCCAGAGGCTGCCTGAGGTGGTGCATACTATGGGGGCAAACTAAACTAACTAAAAAGCTTAAAAGGAAAAGCTGAAGAATGAGATCTTCATAGGGGTTTTGAAAAGCTCTGACATATTCTTGGAAATCTAGAAGGCCACAGACATGCCTAGGGCTGTGTACGGCTGTGCTCATGCCCAGGAAAGACCTAAGAAGGCACTAATTTCTCAATTCTGGCTGACCTTGAGGCTCTGCACAATCAAGAAGCATTGTCACTTGCCTGGCTGATTCCTGAACGTGTGTCCCAACATAAACACACAGTTACACGCTCAGCAAAGACTAGGAGACTTACTGGTCCTGGGTGTTTAAGCATATCTCTGTCCAGGCATGAACTAACCCCTGAGCTAACCACATAGACTTAATGGCCACATGCAACAAAGAATGCAAATCTTACAGAATCATTTCAGAAAAGTCACTAAACAAAAAGTAACAAGTATAAGAAATAGTAATAACAACAAACTCTGAAAAGGGGAAGAATCTGATTTCCAGAGTTACTACATTATAGTATTTGAAATGTCCAGTTTTCAAGAAGAAATTACAAGACATGGAAAGAAAGTATGGCCCACACATGGGAAAAAAAGAAAAAATATGTAAAGAAGCCAAGATGTTGGACTTACCAGACAGACTTTAAATCTGCTTTTTAAATATATTCAGAGAACTAAAGCAAAGTATAAAACAGTGTGTCACCATATAGACAATTTCAATAAAGAGATTGAAGTTATAAAAATATACAAAATAGAAATGGTGGAGTTGACAAGTACAAGAAATGAAAAAAGTCACTAGAGGGCTCAGCAAGTTTGAACAGATAAAAGAAAGAAATGACTTTGAAGAGTCAAGAAGCAAAATTGAAGATAGGTGAATTGAGGTTATCTGGCCTAGATAACGGGGGAAAATGAAGAATAATGAACAGAGCATCAGAGACCTGTGGAACGTCATCGAGTATATGCCAACAGATGCATAATGGAAGTCCTTGTAGGGGAGGAGAGAGAGAAAGGGACAGAAAGAATATTTGAAGAAATGACAAAAACTTGCCAAATTTGATGAAAAACATTAATCTACTAGAAGCTTAACAAACTCTAACCAGAATAAATTTCAGAGATCCACACCTACATTGATCACAAACTGTTAGTACCAAAGAAAAAGAGAGAATCTTGAAATCAGCAATAAAGAAGTGACTGACTCATCATGTACAAAGGATATTCAATAAAGTTGACAGCTGATACAGCATCACAAACAGTGGAGGTCAGAATGCAGTTGAATGACCTGTTCAGAGGTTTGGTTGGGTATTTTTTAGAGAGAGTGCACGTGCAAACACGGATGGGGAGGGGCAGAGGGAGAGAGAGAATCTTAAGTAGGCTCCACACCCAGCATGGAGCCAGATGCAGGGCTTGAGATCGTGACCTTAGCCAAAATGAAGAGTCAGATGCTTAACTGACTGAGCCACCAAGGCACTCCTGACCTGTTCAGAGTATTCAGAGGAAGAAAACTCAACTAAGAATTCCATGTCAAGCAGATCTATCCCTCAGAAATGAAGGAACAATGAGGCATTCTAGGATTTAAACAAAACAAAACAAACAGAATTTCTTTAGAGGAAGCCTGTCCTACAAGAATTACTAAAGAGAGTCCTTCAGGCTGAAATTAAAGAATCCCCCACCCCAAAAAAACCCACCAGACATAAAT